AAAGCCCAGTGGAAAGAGTCCAGGCTTTGAATCTGGTTTCAGGACCAATCACATTACTTAATAGCTGTGTGGCTTTGGGCAAATCCCTCACCTTCTCCAAGGCTCAGTTCCCTCGTCTATAAAATGGGAACAATCTCTCCTGCCTTTCAGGGTTATTATGGGGTTGGGATGTAATACATCCTCAAGCACCTGACCCAGAGCCTAGTTTACTGGAGCTATTTGTTAGGTGGGAGTCTTGTGACTATTATTTCCATTAGACAATGGGAATTCTCAAGAAAGTCAACAGACGCATGTTGTTACTTCCCTGAAAATACTACCTGATACCTTCTGACTCATTTAGGAATTGCATTTGACTCATTGTAATAGATACTCATCTATAAAGGGTTTAAAATAACAAGATTAATTTTCTCTCATATAATAGGAAGCTTGACAGTGGGGATCCTAGGCTGGTTAATGACTCCACAATGTGATCATGCCCCACTTTCTTTTTGTCTTTCTGTTCATCCATCCTAAGCATGTGCTTTCAAGCTTCAGGGTTGCCTCAGAGTCACAATATGGCTGCTCAAAATCCAGCCATCATGGTCGAGTTCCAGGCAGGAAGAAGGAAGAATGGAGGAAAAGCAGAAGGCCATAGAAGAAGGGGGCGGGGAGAGATTTGAAAAAAATAGCTTACCGTAAGAATCACACTCTTGGTTGCCTCCAGGGTCAGGCAGGAAGCATAAGCCAGTGGGTGGGATCTGGAAGGTTGCGGAGGGGACATCCCTGGATAAAAGGAAAGGCTGCTGCTGGGCTAGTGTCACCAGAGCTTTTGATTTTCCAAGAGAAGCTAGAAATGCTGATTTTTTAAAGTTTTGATTGATTGATTGATTGATTGATTGGCTTAGAGCAGGGAGGGGCAGAGAGAGGAACAGAGAGAGAATCCCAAGCAGGTTTCCCACTATCAGTGTAGAGCCGGACGTGGGGCTTGATCTCACGAACCTCGAGATCATGACCTGAGCTGAAATCAAGAGTTCACACTTAACCAACTGAGCCACCCAGGCGCCCCTAGAAATGCTGATTTTTATATAAAATCTCAATACGTGCATATCCACGTTGGCTATTCAGAAAATAATTTTGAAACACTGGGTGGGTTCAATCAAAGTGTGACTGACCACAGAGCCCACCGGCGTGTGAGCTCCGGCATGAGAGGTGGGGAACGTACCCAGAGGGCTGCTAGGCTCATTCACGATCTTGAGAAGAAAACAGAACTGAGAATGGTTCTAGCAAAGGGGACTCCTAAAACACTCTCAGACTGGAACCGAGTAATATCAAAACTATCGCTTCAGATCTGTCTCTGTGTGATAGGCCTTATGATTTTTCCATCCTTTTTTTTTTCTGAATAATTAAGGGCATTTGCCAGTAAAACCGATTTTGGTGAGGTTGGAGGCCCTCAGGTCACCGTCTGTTGCAGCACGGTCCGCGGGAGCCTTGGTGCCCTGAGTAGGGGGAACAATGTCTTCAGGTGGGGAGCCGGACTCCGGCAGTGAGCCCCTCTCCCCTCCTTCCACACCCACCCAGCCAGTGTCCTGCAGAAAGAAGTGGAGAAAATGTTGCACAATCATTAATAGATTTTTCCTTTTGAAATATACCAAGAGATCCCGACAGCAACTTAATCGTAAAAGATGATACTCTGCACTTAGATTTATCGGAGTATGTTCAGTCTTGCCAGCTAAATTTAACAGCAAGCGTTTTCTCTTGCTAACAACTGCTCACTCTCTCTCTCCTTTCCACTTCGGTTTAAATTTTGCTTCATTATGAATTAATAATATTTATGCCATATGTTAAATCGAGCCAAGTGCCCTTCTCTGGAGCACTGCGCAGGAGACGTACTTGCTGGCTAGATATACACTCCTCTCAGATCTCCCACACAAACGACAGAAGCTGAACTTGGCTTTCACCTGGACGACCCACTCTTTCTCTCCAAGTTCCTTAAAGAGAACAGGAGGGAACAAAACAAACATCCGACTGAATTTATTTTCAGTGACCATCTCTCATAATGTGCTGCATAGATCAGCAGTTTTAGGAGTGAATTATGCTAATGCCAGTCTGGCCACATTCTACTTTTCTTTTCTACCAAGAAATGAGAAATAATGAACTGTCGTTCCCTTGTCTAGACTTAACTCATCGAACCAGCTTTTCATGTCGTTTCCCCAGGAGGCACATAATAGTAGCACATATTACCGTGAATTAAGCGCCTCTTTTTTCTCTCCCCCCCCCCCCGCCTTTTTTTTTATGTCATAATAATTCCTGGGGCGTGGAGACTTCTCTTTCTTTGAGAAATAGAAATGGTCTGATTCTTCAACTTGACAGCTTTCTTTTTCTTTTTCTTTTTTTTTTTTTTAAACATTTTTCAACGTTTTTTATTTATTTTTGGGACAGAGAGAGACAGAGCATGAACGGGGGAGGGGCAGAGAGAGAGGGAGACACAGAATCGGAAACAGGCTCCAGGCTCCGAGCCATCAGCCCAGAGCCTGACGCGGGGCTCGAACTCCCGGACCGCGAGATCGTGACCTGGCTGAAGTTGGACGCTTAACCGACTGCGCCACCCAGGCGCCCCTTGACAGCTTTCTTTGAGGGAAATGCATTTTTGCTGTTTTCCTTCCATTGGATTACTAATCTGGGGGGCTTTCTCTGTAGCTCACTAAGAACACACTTTCCAAATGTATCCTACATCAGAATTTGACATCAGTTTGCACGTGCTGGCGTTTTCCATTTCCACAGCCTGAACGTTAAACACTTTGCCGAAACCAGGTTCGTTTCTGGGAAATGGAGGCCACTTGGAGGGCCCTGCTCAGCCCCTTTGTGGTTTTTGATCCTGGTCTCCTTTCAAATTAGAGAATGGTTTTTCTCTTTTTCCTTTTCCCCCCCCTTCCATTCCCTTTTCTCATAGGGAGATATTAATATGTTTCATAATGGGTAGCTGTGGGGGGTTTTATGCTCCGAGAGGCAACGTGGTGTGTTAGAATGTTCTGGAATAGAAGTGTAAAGGGCCTTGTCTCCCCTTCTGTCATTAACTCCTTCCGTGACTTTGAAAAATCCCCCTGTTCTGTGATGATCTCTATCCAGCAATATTGTGAGATCCTATGCCTGTGATAGCAATAGCCTTTAAAAATATACATGTTATATTGGGGCGCCTGGGTGGCGCAGTCGGTTAAGCGTCCGACTTCAGCCAGGTCACGATCTCGCGGTCCGTGGGTTCGAGCCCCGCGTCGGGCTCTGGGCTGATGGCTCAGAGCCTGGAGCCTGTTTCCGATTCTGTGTCTCCCTCTCTCTCTCTGCCCCTCCCCTGTTCACGCTCTGTCTCTCTCTGTCCCAAAAATAAATAAAAATGTTGAAAAAAAAATTAAAAAAAAATATATACATGTTATAAACCAGAATCGTCATTTTCCCTCCTAGATATTTAGTGTTGGGTTTTTTTTTTTTTAATTAACAAATATTGATTACTTGTTAGCCTTCACCTTATAGAAAACTCCCCAGGAAAAAAGAAGCTTCTTTTATTTCACAGAGAAGGAAGAATGCGAAGGAAATTCTATAAATAGAATTTTGTAGAGTGGAAAAAGTTGGTTTCTAAATTTCCCATGAGATGTCAGTAGTTGTTGAGAGGAAATGAGGATGGTGATTTCAGATCTTTCTAAACTTGGGCTCCTACTGAACTTGAATGATTTGTGATTGTCTCCCACCATATGTGCCCAAATTCCTGTGATTCTGGGAGGAAAACAAAAACAAGAAAAGAAAACATTTCTTCGAAGTGGTTCTACATCATGGAGGAGGGCTGGGAGCCGTCATCTGTTACTTCCCCATGTGTGCCAGGTACTGGGCTAGTCCTTAAAATGGTTTTGTATGGTGAGTAGCGGTTTCCTTGTTGTACAAATAAGGAAATGCTGATGCAGAGAGCTTCAGTGACTTGTTCAAGGTCACGTCACAAAGTCAAGATTCAAAGTCCTGTGCATTTGACTCAGCTCTTTTTTTTTTTTTTTTTCCATACACATTTCCAGTCTATCCTTTCTCAAGAATTGTTCTGGTTTCTCATGTTACCATATTTCTTGGACTTCTCTTCCACTAAAGAATTTACTCCTCTACTCCTTAGTTATCTGAGGAACTGCATCCCAGGGCATAAGAGGAAATGCTACCAAGCTTAAGAGCTACCAAGGCTTCATGTTTTTACCCCAGACTCTGAGATCTCTTCCACCCTCTGAGAGTGGTATCCAAGACAGATTGTGCTCTGCGTCACTCACTGGGCTCAGAATCCCACCTACACATCGTGGACACAAAATCAATTCTGCACCGAGTGGATGGATAGGTGAAAAAGTCATTCGAAAGTCTTGACCCTCCAAACAAGGAGGCTTTTCCTGTTTGGGTCAATGAGGATGTTGAGTGGCCATGGGGACAAACCTAGGAGAATCTGTCTCCAAGTGACCGTGGTTGTCTTCCCCCAGCCTTATATCCCAAAGCTTCCCAACAGGGTCTCTCTAGAGGCTCTGGCCTTACTGGGCCCTGCCTGGGACTATGTCTCAAATCCCGGGTTCTTTTTTTTTTTTTTTTTTAATTTTTTTTTCAACGTTTATTTATTTTTGGGACAGAGAGAGACAGAGCATGAACAGGGGAGGGGCAGAGAGAGAGGGAGACACAGAATCGGAAACAGGCTCCAGGCTCTGAGCCATCAGCCCAGAGCCCGACGCGGGGCTCGAACTCATGGACCGCGAGATCGTGACCTGGCTGAAGTCGGACGCTTAACCGACTGCACCACCCAGGCGCCCCTCAAATCCCGGGTTCTTACTGCAGCCCTGGGCTGGGCCATCTCCCTACATCTCCCCAGAGCTCCTAAGTCCACTACTCTGTCCTCCAAGGGAGGACTGGATGTGAATCCCAGCTGTGTGATCTTGGGTAAGTTATGTCCCTTTTCTTGAGTCTCAGCTTACCTGTCCCTGGAATGCGACTAAGAGTACTTCCTTTGTAGGGTGGTTGTAAAGATGGACAGGAAAGGGCCTGGCATACTAAATGGGTGCCCGAGAAATGAAAGAATCAAAATTCTTTTAAAGCATCTCCTGTCTCCTGCAGCCAGCATGGGTCCCTCCTTCCCCTGTCCCCATACCAGATGTTACAATCAACTGTATTTGCAGGCATCACTAGGGAGGATGAGTTACCTCGGAAAAGGGATAAACGGAGAATTCTCTTTGGTAAATTACAGCCCCTGCTAAAGGTTTGACACTTCTATTTTCTACCTGTCAGAAAAAAATAACTATATACCAGTGGTCAGTTTGGTTTCCCTTTTTATACTCCATTAACCCATAGAGCAAGCCAGGCAGAGCTCCTGTCCCATGGGGGAGCAGGTAGTCCAGAGGACACTGATGCAATAATTAGAGAGAAGTGGTGGCCCTTCCTAATGAAGCTTGGAAAATGAGCAGCGCAGGTTGTTGGAACACCTTGGGAGAGACTGGAGCGTCGTCTCCGGTGGAGCCCAATAGAGATAGCCATCTTGGTGACAGGCGACATGAAAAGCTCTGCGTCCATTGACATGTTGTTACCGGGGTTCAATAGCTGTGCGCTGATGTGTTTGAAGTCCGCCACCAGTGACTTGTGATTGAAATACGGAGCAGGAGCCCAGGAGGAAGCAGGATGTGAATTGATGGCCTGAGAAATACTATTGGCAGGGAAGAAAGGAAGGAAGAGGGAGGGCGGGAGGGAGGGAGCCAATGTGCTGGCATATAAGGAACACCAGCCTTGTCTGGGCACCATGCCGGGCACACTCACGGCCTCCATCGTCGGGTGTGTGTGGGTTTGGAGGGGGGCCTCGGGGGTGCCCAAATCCTGCTTGCCAATCAACCCCTCTCCTGTCGGGCTTCTAAGGGACCTATTCACACGAGGGCTGATGACAAATGGGAAATCAAAGAACCACTTTATCATTAGCTGGGGCAACGGATGAGGCCATATTTGGAGAGTTGAAAGCAGCATTGAGCGTAATTCGGCCAAACGGACAGCTGGCCCAGAGGTATGACTCCACGATCGCGAGGGCAAATCCAGCTTGTGTTGGGACTCGCTTTCCAGCTCGACCCTGTTCAGGAAGGTGGTGCATCTGGACAAGCCAGGGGCTACCTTTAGTCTGGATGGAGAGCCCGGGGCCCTGACATCCAGACGCTCTGACTGGTGAGCTCCGTTTCTCCAGAATGGAGGGGGCCGCTTGCTGAAGGGTCAGCCCCAAGCAGCCTCCGAAGATCCCACGCTGTAGCTCTGGAGGAGGAAACGAAAAGTGGGGAGCGGTTGGGAAGACAACCAACAACGGTGGGCCAACCGGGCGCCAGGCACCATGCCGGGTCCTTGGCCCGCACCGCCTCATCCTTCTTCACCACCGCCATGGGGGCGGATACTATTCTCTTCATTTTAGGTAGCAGCAAATAAAGGCACTGAAGGTTTAAGTAAATGCTCACGGTCACATAGCTAGAAAAAGCAGCAGAGCCAGGGTTTCTATCCTGGTCTGTCTGATGCCCAAATCACGCTCTTTTCAGTGTGCCAGACTGCCTCCCCACATCTCCAGACCAAAAAACAAAACAAAACAAAAAACCCCAAAACCTAGAGGGGAGGCAGAGGATTGCAAACATGCCTTTGTGGCTTGGACAGGGAGCAGATGTGGGGCTGAAAACCTGGTTACCTTGGCCTCTGTGCACTGGAGGAAATAAACCAGAGGAGCCTCCGAAAGTCTGACGCCAGCCTCTCCCCACCCCTGCTGCTTCCAGGTGACTCCCCAAAGTCAGGACTGAGCGTGGAGGGGTGTGGACCAGCCGCGTTCATCTGCACTGGGAGTCTCGGGCTCACCGTTCGGGACCCACCTGAAATCTTCAGGTGACAGATTCCGATGGGTGACGTGCAGGAACCTCCAGCCCCTGTCTGTAGGTTTGGGCCCAGGGATGCATCCGGGAAGCATTCCAGTGGGGAATCACTTCCGGACAGAAGCGGCATCTTCCGTCTGTTTGGGTGACAGTGCTGTTTTCGTTGGGCCGTCCGAGTGTGCCACTGTCGGCCGCCTGGGCACTGGTAAGAGAGCACGGTGCCCAGGTCCAGCCTTTCTCTCTCTTCCCAGAGACGAACGCACGTGAAGGTGAAGAGGAGCAGAGGTGCATGTCCGAAACGAGGAATTCCCTTTCCCTCTCGGAGCAGGCAGAGACCTCCCCTGGCCTGTGTGCAACAGGCCGATCCCCAGCGGCTGCAGAAAAGACTGACTATTTTACAGGGGAGGAACGTGAGGTTCCGGAAGGGGAGCTGGATTAGCCGGGACCATTAGCTTCTAAGTGGCGGAGCCATTCAACTCAAGACTGGCCGTGTCCGGGCGCCTGGGTGGCTCAGTCGGTTGAGCGTCTGACTCTTAATTTCAGCTCAGGTCATGACCCACAGGATGTCCGTGCGGAGCCTGCTTGAGATTTTCTCTCTCTCTCCCTCTGCCTCCTCTCCCCTGCCTGTGCGTGCGCACTCTCTCTCTCTCTCTCTCTCTCTCTCTAAAAAAAAACTTGTCATCCTAAAGTCCTTGCTCTTTCCAGCCCTTTAGAATTAACCAAATTACAGGAACCCACATGATCTAATCTCAGCTTACATTTTCAGCCTTCTCTT